CGTTGCATTTGACGCACCACTACAAGATGAATCGACGGCGGTATTCATTGGCGGCAAATCATTGCAGCTTGGTGGCGGTGGCGTTAATATAGTAGTATGGACGACGAGATGATTGAAAATGAACACAACAGAGATCTAGTCCTATTGGCAGACATCCATTTAAAATGTAGGCAACGGCATGAAAAAAGTGGTTTCTACTTTTACTTTTATATTTTAAGTAAATTTACAAGCCTGTACTTTGTTACTTTTACCGGTACTCAAGTACGGAAAGTGAGTACTTTGCCATTTCTGGATAGAGGGCAATGCAAACATGTAGATAAAGTTTTCCTGATCAGACATGATTAAAATTGGAATTTTACATCCCTACTGTAAAACATGATGGTGGTGGAATCATCAATCCGTGGGGATATTTTTTAGGTAGCAGTTCTAAAGGAAAGATAATGAGACCTGAATGTGGTCTTCAAATAATCTTATTGGTCCTACTAGTTGTCTTTCATCACTTTTATTTCTAAGTCAAGTCTAAGTTCTAGTCTTCTTCTACTCATATCCCACATTGTACTTTTTTTCTGATCTAAATCAGTTTCAAAACAAAAATAACACGTCTAAACTGCTAAAAAAAAAAAGGGAAGAAAATAACCATGGACAGAACATAATTATATTCCACAGACCTATTACCCTACCTTGTATATCATATACATTAAGTCGATCCTTTACAGCTTGAATAGTAACTGCATAACTATGAGGTAAAGGCTAAATCAAGCAGCCACACTTCTAGTAATTTCCAGAAGCTCTGACAGTCCTGGTGTTAAATATAGGCATGTGATCATGTTTGTCATATCAAAGGCTTGCAGTCTACTGTCATTTACGCATTTAAATGTGACTAACAGTAGGTGGTTTATGAATCAAACTGAAAAAATGCACAATAATATAATAAATAACTATTATTAATGATTAATACTTTATAATAGTAATTGTGGTTTGTTTAGTCTTATATTTGTTGGGTCTGTTTTTTATTAAAAAATATAAAATATCTTTTTATAACTATGGGTATATCTCATAAGATTATTTGTGACTGAATCTGAAAGTTGAATGTGCGGAAATTATCACCATATCTGGGTTTTAGAAACCAGTTTTGCAAATGTTTTTCTTGTCTTGCTTTAAAGCCTTAGAATCAGACAGTAGAGCTGTTTTTTTTCCCTTGCTTTTTTAATTATTTATTTATTTTACTTTCTTGGCATGTTTTAATTTTTGAAAGAAAAGAAAAAAACGGGCTATAGTGTACCCTATCGACACAAGAACCAAGGAAGCAATTGTTTTATTTCAAAATAAAATAGTTTATTTACATTTGTATGCTTTGGTCATTTTTTAATGACTTACTAATTACCAAAAGTAGGTATCTTTGTAATTAGTATAACTATTTTAATTTCCCTGTTTAGATTAATCTCATAGCTTCATTATTTCAAACATTAATAAATGGTTACATCTATTACAAAACACGAGAGGAAATACTTTTTTTTTACTCTGGACCTATTGCTTACATATACTTAAATGCATCCCAAAATAATTATTTCCACTATTTAAAATAAGCTATGTCTCTGTGCCTTTGTTCTGTAAACTTAATTATATGAAACATATGAAATGTGCTATTCTTCTTGGGTGATAACATTTTTTTACACAAGCCCCTTAAATAAAGCCCTAATTTAAAAATAAAATCTTTATCTAAAAAGCAGTCCATTTATTGGTTTTGTATCAGTTTTCATGGTTAGCGACCTGAAACATTCAGCTGCAGGAAAAAACAGCAACAAATCTATTGGACAGAAATGTCCTTTTTTTGTATCTAAACACAAATGATCATATAAATGACATTTTTTCCACTAGTTTAGAATAAACTGCTAAAAGAGAGCCCCTTCCATGCATGCATTTTATGTGTCACAAAGTGTAGGGTTGTTTTTGCAACTTAAATGTTTTAGGAGTTTATTATTGTAGAAGAAATAAGAAATCGGCTTGTAAACAAAAACAATCTCGAAATAAGTTACAATTTCCTAAATTAAGTGTATGTACCCTTAATTTGAGTAGGTAAGTTAGATAGTTTGCCAATAGGATGAGTATTTTTACTCTTAAAATAAGATCATTAGATAATATACACTTGAAATTAGACAATGCAATTGTGATTTCTTATTTAAAGTGTAAATTGTCTTGTTTCATTGGCAAAATGTCTCTTTTACCTCCTCAATCCAAGAACAAATGCACTTATTTCAAGAAAAAATGGCTTATCTAGATTTGGGTTTTTTCCAGTAACTGCTGCGTAAAATGCCATTTTATTTTGAAAGATCTAAAAGGGAAGTCCATATAGTTGAATCTTGCTGCACAGTTTTTAACCAGCAGGCTCGGGTTGCAGTTTGAAATCTAAAATTAGGGAGGCACCCCCCCTCTCAGTAAATGACGCAAGGGGCCCAAACTGGAGCGTGTCGTCGTCTCTGCGCTCCGCTGATAACAGGACTGGGGGCCATGGAGACATTCCTCACAACACCCTGCTGTTGTTGCCGATGACACGGGGCTGCGTGTATTTTTAGCTGCTGTTGTCATGTTTTCGTAACGGCCCTGCCGCTTCTCTCGCTATAAAGGACTGCCGTTCAAACATGCAGCTGTACAGCAGCGTTCTCACACACTATCCGAGGGCGTCTAGGTCCGGGAAAGTCACTGTCACTCTGTCCCCGGCGGCTGAGCGCACCAAAGGGGCCGCGCAAAGTTCCTCTGAGGTCGACGGACAACTTCAAGTGCGCGCAACTTCATCTACCGACAGGGGTGAGCCAAACATGCCAGCCCTTTCCTGTTATGAAGCCTCATCGGTGAGGCCGGTTCACTTCACATCTACGGCGGAGATAATAATCCGTAGACCCGATGGAGTGGAGAGGTCTGTGCCAGTTCACATCCTAAAGGAGCCCAATAACAAGCTGCAAAGGAGTGAGAATCAGCTCTACAATGACTGTGATTCAGATATAACGGTGGTGGGGATGGATCATGTGCCTAATGGGACTGGTGAGATGTTTCCAGGTAATCATGTTTTCAGGAGCAACAATATCAATGGGACAGTGAGGAATTCATATCAAACCGAAGCTGCTTCCCAAACATCTTCTAGAAGGAATGGATTTCCTCTGGTTGACATAGAAGAAATGTCTGCCGTTGGTTCATCCAGTAAAGACTTTAACAAGGAGAAGGCATTTGAGCTCAGCGTCCTGCAAGAATCTCAGCCACAGAGATGCCAAGAAACGGGGGGCATCAACGATAAGGTTACCCGCTACCTGGCCGAGGTGGAGAGGCAGAACAAGTACCTCCAGGAGAGGCGCAAGTACAGGTACCACATCATTCCAGATGGCAACTGCCTATACAGAGCCGTGTGTAAGGCGACATACGGGGACCAGGCCAAGCATGGGGAGCTGCGGGAGCAGACCGTGCACCACATCGCCGACCACCTCGACGAGTTCATCCCCATCATCGAGGGGGACGTCGGGGAGTTCTTGATCAATGCGGCACAAGACGGGGCATGGGCCGGGTATCCGGAGCTGCTAGCCATGAGCCAAATGCTGAATGTCAATATCCACCTTACAACTGGCGGCAGCCTGGACAGTGCCACAGTATCCACCATGGTGCACTATCTCGGGGAGGAGGATGCCTCCAAACCTGCAATCTGGCTCAGCTGGCTCAGCAACGGTCACTACGATGTTGTCCTGGATAAGCGCCTCCCCAATCCGGAGTACGAGGACTGGTGTCGACGATCGCAGATGCAAAGGAAGCGGGATGAGGAACTGGCGAAATCAATGGCGGCCTCGCTGTCTAAGATGTACCTTGAACAAAACAGTTCTGTTTGAATTTAATACTGTGTAACAGTGGACATATTTTGTTACAGAAGGAAAGATAGACGTATTTTCTGTCTGATGAGTTTCTACCTGCTTTAAATTATTTTTGTAAGATTTCTTGGCTTAAATGTATGTGCAGTGCACAGACTTGAGTTTTCTATTTACAAGAACTCCCAGATTGGAGTTTGAAAGGATGTATGGCTGTTCTTTGGAAGATTTTAGTTATGTTGATCTGAGTGATTCTTTGAGTTTGTTTTCTTGAAGTTTAAGGAATTTATTTGCCTTTTGTTTGGCTGACCAGTTGGATTTTTCTGACATATGTTGTGTAGCAGTTGCCATATATTTGAAAGTGGGTTCCCTGCAGTCTGGAAATTGCTTTGGAATTTGTCATTTCTAGGTCTGAATGAGTAGGAAAAGAAAAGTTTAGGAAAATGTTTTATATTATTTTCTATTCAAAGGACAAAAACTAATATTTAATGATTGCAGTGATTTTATTTCTAGATGACTTGCTTTGTCTTTTATTTGCTGCACTATGACTTGATTTTTACAGTTTATCCATTATTGCTTTGATTTTTGACTTTCTGACTGTATGTACTCTCATTCATTAAAAAAAGGCAACTTTACTACCTTTTTAGCTGCAGCTAACTTTAAATTGAAGTCTTGGTAAAATGCAAGGCTGATTTTAAAATTAAGCTGATCTAAGTTTGTTAAGACAACAACAAAGACTGTTATATTTCACATTCCAAATATTAGGATCTCACGTACACAAATAAATCCAAAATGTTCCCAAAGACTGCTCAGAAAACTGCCTATTTGAATCAGGAAAGCATGAGATTTTAAAGTGAAATGTTTTAAAACCTATTTTTGAAATACATTGAAATCTTTATTGCATTTCTGCCTCTTTTTTATGCATTTTGTAGAATCTCCTTTTTCTTTTCTTAGCACAAAAGTTCCAACAAGGCATGGGCTGGAATTCTCTTCGTTTTATCCACTAGCAAAGCATTAGCACAAAAACACTAGATATAGTGTTAATTAGATATAATTAGATATAATCTAATTGGTTTTACTTAAAGCAGTAATGTATTCTTAATGCTATTCAAGTAAAATATTACAGGTATAACCATTTTTATTTATTTTTTATTATTTACAGTCTTTAGAGACATGTTTAAAATAGAGATTTATACTAGCTCAATTTGGCGTTAGTTTTAGAGCTAATATGCACTAAGTACTAATTCTAAGGGAGTTTGTAGTTTCTAGCTTGTGACAATTTGTTCTATTCTTTAATCTGAAATAACCCAAACTACAAATTCCTTTTTTTTTTTTTTAGCAAGTGACAAGTTTAGTAGTTTTCCTTTAGTCATAGCTGACCATGAGAGTTGCACCAACAGGTAGCTGCACTACTTTAACACACCTGGAGAAAATTCCAGTAACACCAGCACTTTATCCGGTATCTCATTCTACCAATTATAAACTCTAAGAATGTTAGATTGTACATTTTAGTACAAATCTCGTTTTACCATCATACTAGTATCCTGTCCATGCCTAGTCCCAACATAATTGTTGGAATTTAACTTATTGTCATTTATTCCCAGTTATTTGTATTAATGTAAACAATTTCATGTTTTTGGATTACTTCTGAATAAAATAAGACAAATGGACTTCACTTTTATTTTGAATTATGTCCACAGTTTTATTACTCCAACTTACTCTTATTTGTATTGCCTGAGTGTCTTTCTGTTCAAAATTGTACTTGACCACAGTTGAATCAAGTTAGGACTGATAGAGCAATGCCAGAAGTAATCATTACACTCTTGATTTTATGGGAATAAAATCTTGTTGACTTATGGTGAAACTTCAGCCAACTAATCAACTTAGAGTAGAACTAAAAAACAAATTGTAAATTTATTATCCTCATTGTTTATGTTGGAAGTTATAACCACTAACATGATGACCGTAAACACTGATGTTTTAGTGAAAAGCTAAACACCCTAAAGCTTCAGCTGCTGTTGTATTTGTAAAGGCAGAAAGGTGACTAAATGACAAATGTACAACAATATAAATGTAAAGCTAGAATATATAATCCCAAGGATTTATGTACAGAAATGGATGATAAAGGTAATGAAATTTTACAATAAAACAAGGATCTTCTCCAAATGAAAAACGGAAGTGCAAGTAATCTATAGCCATTAATCAAATCAATTATCATCCCAGTGAGGATTTGCAAAAAAAAAGTTTGCAAAAGAATAACTTTCAAAAGAGAGCAAAAAAAAAAAAAAAGAATACCTCAGTCTAACTGCAGCACATTCCAGTCTATTTTTACAAAGTCGTTGGAAGGATTTCCAGAAATACCTCAGCTATGGTTTGTTTCAGTAAATTATTCAGAGAACAGGAAATGACTCTTTATTCTTTTATTTCCTCCAACAAAAACTACCACAATGCCAGAAAAAAAGAGAAAAAAAGAAAGAACAAAAAATAGTTCTGCTTTTCGGCCACAAGATGGCACTGTAGACTCTGATACTATTTCCAAAATTACCCGAACGTCTAAATAATGCATCCAGTATTTTTAATTTTTGTTTAAGTTTAGGGATGATCAGAGCCTCTAATGTGAGTTATTAAAAAAAAAAAGTTCAAATGAAATATTTTTTGAAGTGATGCATTTATGAATATATTGCGTTTTTCTATTTAAAGTTTAAAAATCTTAAGTTCTCCTTTAAATAACCTTCCAATAGCATTAGTGCTTTCATTATTATGGCCGATGACCGGTGTGTGTTTGACCTGCCGCTTATTGAACTGTATTATGTTATTAGAATCATATTCTTTACTGTAGTGGCGCAATAATGCAGTCATAGGCTCACAGAAGAAAGTTTGAGTCTTCTGTCTAATGCGGGAGGATAGAGAGGCTCTATGTGGCGCCTGCGTTTCCTCCATAAACAAGCAGGCGGGCTGAGCGGAGCAGAAGGAGGCAGGTGAGAGCAGCCGGTTTCTCTGCAGTGGGGCTGTTGCAGGCTCTGAATCAGCGCAGAGGGAGAAAGAAAGTCACCGACAAACGCAGACTCTCTCCTGCAGCGTGCGGTTCTCCGTGGAAGATTCCCACGCGCCAGGACGCACTGACCAGCTGGGAAAGTTTACGGAGCGGATCTACTTTCAAACGGCCAGTATGTCTGGACACCGGGTGCAGTTTGCGGACCTTCCTCCCAGTGAGCACAAAGAAAGCCCCAAATTTACAAGTAAGGAAAATTTAAGACTTTGAGATGAAATGGTTTTCTTTTCCGCTCCCTAATATGTGTAGATCTGTAGAAACTTTCATATGTCTCATTTGCTGCTGACTAAAAATCATACTGTAGATTATCACTGATACTTCATGGCATGTTTTTTGAGCCCTAACTTTATTATGCATTGTATTTATGATGATTACACAGAATTTATTTTAAAAATCCATAGTTTTAGGCTTTAGTTGCTCCATGTTTCTCAATCACAAGCTACTAGAAATTTGATTATATTGAAGATACATTACAATCAACCAAAGACTGTTCTGTCATTTCTGTTTCCCCTGAGCAACCCCAAAAAAAAAAACCCCAACAACAAATCAAAACAAAAAAATACATTGTAAACAAGTAGAAATAAAAAATATGGATATGTGTGAAGTCAGGTCTTGTCATTTATATACAAATAATATATATATATATTTCGATTACCTAACTTAAACCACATTTTTAAGGTGACATATATAGCCTCAGCATATTGTCTGATGTGATGGAGGTTTTTCCACCTAATTCTACATTTCCAAACTGTTATTAAAAATATGTATTAATGTCTTTATAGTTTCATAACTCATAATTATAGAACAATGCCAGGGTTTAGATTCATTTAGTATAGTTCTATAGTTATTAATTGGGGGTTTCTAGTGCTTCCCTGCTAATAGTTGACTGCATCTTTTCCACTGCAAGGCAGTTCAGCCTCTGTATGTAATGACTCAGAACAGAGGGACCCGGAATTCAGGCAAGACAGACAGTGGCATAACTTAAAGGGGAACACTGTTATTTTTACATTTGTCCCTTGATTTTACATTACCGCATCATGTTCTACTCACCTATATGAGTTTTGTGTCATTTGGAGCCGTTCTGAAGATATTCCGTTAGGTTATATCCAAGTAACGTCTTCCTATGGGCAACGAGTTGAAGGTAGAAACTAAACTGTTCACAATTTATTCTTTATGGTACGCCAGCACTCATAACATGTAGGCGAATCACTGTCCCCCAGACACCCACGGTTATATTTTTTATATTTCTATTTTTTAAAAACAAAGCGGCGTGTGTATGACGTCATCCGCGTGCGCCGCCTACTGTTCATCCTTCTTGTCCTGTCAGCTGAACTGCTGCTATTTTTACTCACATGACTGGAAGATGTCTAGTGCTACTACCACAGATGATTTCGCTTTTGATATGGAATTGAACGATTCAGATTTGCTAGCAGAATATATAAGAGGTAGAGCGTAGCCGGCTGGTGTAATGTACATTGGTTAAATAAAGTTTAAAAAAACAAAAACAACCTCCAGTTCGTTATACGTCAGACGTCATACACGTGCCGCTTTGTTTTTAAAAGATATAAATATAAAAAATATAACCGCGGATGTCTGGGGGACAATGATTCGCCTACATGTTATGAATGCTGCTGTACCATAACGAATAAATTATGAACAGTTTAGTTTGTCCCTTCAAGTTGTTTGCCCATAGGAGGAGGTTACTTGGATATAACCTAACGGAATATCTTCAGAACAGCTCCAAATGACACAAAACTCATATGGGTGAGTAAAACATGATGTAATAACGTAAAATCAAGGGCCCAATGTAAAAAAAACAACAAATTCCCCTTTAAAAAGCGTTTTCTTTAAGCAACGGGCTGTGGATCTGCAGTAGCAGCGGCTAGGGCGTCTAATGCAGGAACCTCTGAAGGAGAGAAACACGGGTTAGTAACCACGATGATCTGACAGAGGATGATTATGAATGCTTGAGTCACTAACCTGGTTTTACAGTTCAGTCCGACAAGACACAGCAGACGCTGGCAGAGAGTTCCAGACACTGAAGCCTAAGGCTACGTTCACACTGCAGCCTGAAGTGACCCAAATCTGATTTTTTTTGCCCATATGCGACCTGGATCTGATCTTTTCATGGCAGTCTGAACAACACAGATCCGATTTTTTCCAATCTGACCCAGGCCAGGTGGCTATATGGTCCTGAATCCGATACGAATCTGATCTTTTCAAATGCGACCTGTGTGTGAACGGCCAGGTCAGATTCATCCGACCTGAACGTCATTAATACCCGACAAAGGTCACTATTATGCGTCTTGCTATGCAGAAGCGACAAGAAAAACAAGAACCATTGAAAAGATTGTATTTTTATGGATGGAAAAGACCGCTAGATGCGCGCCGGCACTACCATCCATGTTTACTTGCGGAAAAAAGAGCATGCTGGCCTGTGACGTCATTGCGTCCACTACTGCGCATGCGGGACACTTCGTTGTATGACTGCAGTTCACACAGGAGATCACATACAAGTCGCATATATTTGGAAATATGAACGGCAACGTGAAAAAGTCGGATTTCACAAAAGAAATCGGAATTGAACATCAAGGCCTGCAGTGTGAACGTAGCCTAAAAGGCTGCATAACTGGCAGGAGATCAGAGCCAGAAAGATGATGGAAGACAAGATAATAAAAAGGTGAAGTCAAGAGGCAGATCAGATTCAGTCCACAGTAGAATCTAGCAGATGTCAGAAGACAGGCAGGAAAACAGATCAGGACAGGGTCAGGCAAGCTCAAAGGTCCAAAAGCTAAATGGGCCAGGATCGGAACAATCACAACACAATAAGTTATGCTAGAAAAACTCTCACCAAAGGCTCAAAAATAATCTGGCACTGATAGGTGGGACCAAGGAGTTTAAGTAGATGCAGGTGGATCAGATGAGCAGTGATGTCAACAGGACAGTGTTAGACAGGTAAATGAAATGAGCAA